ATTAGCTCTCTTAAAGTCCAAGACTCTAGTTTGACTGCTGCTTCATGGAAACCTGGGTTGCAAGCTGCTTGGAAGGTATAATGGAATTAACCACTTCTTCCTGGATGCTCTTGCATTGGGGCATCTGGGAGAGCACATCCTCCAGGAAATCCCCCCCCCAATGTACTTCAGTTTGAAATCGAAACAGTAAAAGTATTTTTTTTTTTGTTATTATTTTTATTTTACATTTTTCTTCATAGTATATCACAATTTCAATTTTGAAACAGTGATATACTGGTTGTATCAGCACCTTTTTAACTATACATGATGTTATATATCCTAATTATGACCATTTTTCTCTTATTCATACAGTATAGCCCATAGGGGAAAAAAATAGAAACATGATATTATACAACATACATTTTCTTTATATGATGCTGACATTGTTAATCTATAATTTATTTTCCACAGTTTTTGCCAATTATCTAATTCTATAGTGTACACAAAGTTTTTGCCCATATTATCAGTTTCCTTTACTAATTCTTCTTCCATTTTAAAGCTCAATAGATAATTCTAAAACTTCTTTAGCAGTTTTTCATCTGTCCCCTGTAGTATCTTATCCAATATATATAAAATCCATATTTATCTGTATCCTTCATATATCTCGTCTGTATTTGCATATAAGGCCACCAGTCCAAGTCAATTCCCTGATTTTTTTAGTTCCTGTTTCGTTTTTAATTTCCCTTGTTCATTTAATATATCTTTATATCTTACTATTTTATCCAGATCTAACACGTTAGGATATATTAGTGCTTCCATTGTGGATAGCCAGACTGATATTTTCATATAGTGAGTCTGTTTAATTTTTCCCCATACTAATAACAGAGCATTTCTAACCTGGTGTCTTTGGAAGTAGCTGTGTGTTTTGTTTTTTCCATCCCATATAAATGCATGCCAACCCAATTGTAAGTCATGTCCCTCTATCACCAATATCCTTTTATTCTTTAGGTTAATCCATCTTTTAGCCATGTAAGCACCGAAGCTTGATAGTACAACTCCCAGTCTGGTAACCCAAATCCTCCCTTATTTCTAGTATCCTGTAGCATTTTTAATTTGATTCTTGGTTTTTTTCCTTGCCAGATAAATTTTGTTATCGATATATTTAGATCTTCAAAAAAGTTTTTCCCTAACTTTATCGGAATTACTTGAAATAAGAATAAAATTTTTGGTATTCATTTTAATTGTGGCTATTCTTCCGATCAGCGAGAGTTGTAAATTTTTCCATTTGTCCAAATCTGTCTTTATTTGCTGCATTAATTTAGTATAGTTATCTTCTTTGATAGATATACATCTTGCTGTTAGCCAGATTCCCAAATATTTAACTTTTTTAGTTACCTGCATTCCTATCCTTTCCATCAATTCGTTTTTCTGTTTATTTGTAAAGTTCTTTGTCAATATCTTGGTCTTTTCCTTGTTTATTTTAAGTCCTGCTACTGCACCAAACTCTTCTATTTTTTTTTTTACTAATTTGGGTCCTGTTTCTAGTTGTTCCTCCAGAATAAATACCAAATCATCAGCAAATGCTTGTACTTTGTATTGCTCTTTTTTTATCTTCAGACCTTTTATTTCCTGGTCTTGTCTGGGCTGTCTAAGTAGGACTATTCTAACTCTATTCTAGAGTTAATATGAATAGTAGAGGCGATAGACAACATCCTTGTCTTATGCCCTTATTTATGTTAAATGTTCCTGTTGTTTCTCCATTTATTATCACATTTGCTGTTTGGTTGGACTATATTGTTTGAACCATCTTTACAAAGTTTTCTCCAAAATTCATATTTTTCAGTTGTAATATCATAAACTGCCAATTCATGTTGTCAAAGGCTTTTTGTGTATCCAAGAAGATCAATGCTAGTTGCTTTTCGGGGAAACAGTAAAATATTGGGCCCACTGTACTCGCTTCAGGGAGAGCTTATGGGGGATTCCCAGGGACTCCAAGTTTTTGAGATTGGTTCAAACTTCAAAGAGGACCTTACTGCCCTCTAAGAACTGCCTCCACTGTTAGCAGGGCCCATCAAACCACAAAAGCCTTTTTTTCCCATACTGCCCAACGTCTCTCAGTCTCATTTAGTTTGTGAGATGTGTAGGCACAGGGTTGCAACTTTCCCTCAGCATTCTTTTGGAGGAGAACTGCCCCCACTGCCACATCACTAGCATCCTCTTGTATCACGAATGGCTCTTCTGGATTTGGATCTTTTAGGACCGGCTTTGGTGCAAAGAGGCATTTGAGCTTTTCGAACGCCACCTGTCCATTGTCTAATTTAGTGGCTGGCTGGGCTTAGGCTTCAATCTGCCCTCCATCCTTGCACATACCCCATTTTGAGCAACTCTGTGATTGGCAAGGTGATCTGGGCAAACGAGGGAATGAATTGGCTATAGAAGTTAGCAAAGTCTAAGAAACTCTGCAGCTGTTTTCAAGTTCAGTGGGCCTGCCACTCCAAAATGGCTTTCACCTTCCCTGGGTACATCTCTATTCCTTCAAATGACACCCAATACCTAAATAGTCCAGACTGGTTTTGTGAAATTCACACTTCGATAGTTTGGCACACAGCTTAGCATCAAGGAGTTTTCTAAGCACTTGGCGCACCGGTCTCACATGCTCTTCTATTGTCTCGGAGTAGATGAGGATGTTGTTCAGGTACACCAGAACCCCTTTGTTCAAATTCTCATGCAACATCTTATTTATTAGTTACATGAACACAACAGGTGCTCCTGTAGACCAAAAGGCATCACTTTGAATTGGTATACCCCAAGGGGCAGTTAAATGTAGGCTTCCACTCATCCCCCTTTTAAATCCTCACTTGATACCGTGTTTCCCCAAATATAAGACATCCCCTGATAATAAGCCCAGTCGGGCTTTAGAGCGCATGCGCTAAAATAAGCCCCCTCCGAAAATATTTAAATGCATGTGCAGCCGGTCCCCACCATTTCCTCTGGTTAGGGTTAGGGAGACAGAGCTGGAAATCAGGTAAGACGGCAAGAGGAGCCCTGTCTTGCTCCATGCGCCCCCAAATAATAAGGCTTCCCTAAAAATAAGGCCAAGCGCTCAAAAAAATAAAATAAAATAAGGCAAGGTCTTATTTTCAGGAAAACATAGTAGTATGTCTCTCTTAGGCCCAGCTTGGTGAACACCTTCCCTTTGGACAGATAACCCAGCATGTCCTTCATGAGGGGGAGAGGGTACATGTTCTCCACACAGACCCCATTGATTCTGTGGAAATCCATACACAGCTTCAGTGACCCATCCTTTTCTCTTTAAACAGCATGGGAGCTGCTACTCAGGACTTTGCTAGCTGGATGAATCCCCTGGCTAGGTTCTTGTCTATGAAGTCTCTCAACCACTCTGGCCATCCCCTCAGCTTCCTGGCAAGGCTCCAAAACTCCTGGATGTACTCGGTCACTGGCCTGTTCCCATGTTTGATAGTGTGGATCTCAGACTCACCTCTAGGAAGGTGCCAAGGTTCCCCAGCTTGGGAAGTCCCTCGTCGTGCAGCTGTGTTGCCCACTCTGCTGTATCTCCCTCCAGGCTGGTCACAATGGCGTTCATACATGCAACATTGTCCGGGTAGACTGGTCCATACAAGTCCATGTGGCTCCACATCTGGTTCAGGAAAAAGGCCAACTTCTCCAGTCTCCCATTGAACATGGCACTTATCAGCGGAGGTTCCAAGTGCCCCGGGGCAAACCAGTATCCTGATGACCACTCCACTGCATGTGGGAACGACTGGGATTCAAAACCCATAGCTACCAGGGGCACATGAGGTTGGCTGGCTCCCCCGTGTGGAGTAGCGGTCACCCCTCAGGGACTGGCTCTGCCCTGGTCTAATGTACCCCTCTGCTGTAGGGCAGTAATCCCTCTGGGGCTGGCAGCACCCAGGGCTGCTGCTCTAACTTTTCCCATGCAATCCTGCATAGTTAAAAGAATAGGTTTCTCCCCTCCTCCCACTGGACAGGTCACATTGTCCACTTATGAATTGTCCTTTTGTTTTGAGAACAGTTTATGTCTTGGCCGACACCTGCAGAAGTGTCTTTGGTGGGTGCTTGGCTCGCCCGTCTGAAGTCTGCAGTCTCTGCATTCCATCTTCCCCTTCCCTCCCTCCAAATCTTTGGCAAGTTGAGAAGCGATTATATTCACAGGAAGCATAAGCAAATTCAATCTAGACAGTTTATTTTTATGCTTTACAGGAATCTTGCCAGGTATATGGAAAAAGAATAATTATGTTGATGAGATTCCTGTGCAATAATGCTTTCTTCTTCATGCTGGATACACTAACCATATCAATAACACTATCAGCTCTGACTTAGAAATATCTGCAGCTATTTACTAACCCAGTAAATGGCAGCAAAGTGAAATACTAACTCTAATTTTTGCAACTGAGATCTTGGAACTTTACATGAAAATCCATTGGTTTTGTTCGTATTGTATTTTGCTTTTGAGTTAAAGCCATGTTAGGGTTGACAGGAAGTGACAGGAATCAGGTTGGTGCATAGATTTGATTAAGGAATGAAGAGTTAAATACTGTTTTTCTTTTATGTTCTACTTCACCTTAAAAATTAAATATAAAAATCTATAATAAATCCCTTTAATAGCTGTTTGTCAAGAAATCAACAAATTTATCTTGTCGTCTTGCTATTGTGCCTATAATGTTTCTATAATGTGTAGTGGTTAAAGCTGTAGGGTGAGGTTAAAGGAAATGGTAGAAATCTCAATGTTTAAAGTTACTACATTTCTTTTGGATACATGGATATTTCTCTCAAACTAGCTGTTCTCTTGAAATATCTCAAAACAGATGGTTTCTTTAGTAACCTTTCCTCATCTTTGGCCTTGGAAGGAATCTTAAGCAGCCAAGTTGCCTTGACTGGAGTTCTGGAATTCAGACCCTGGATCCTGAAATTACCTATTCTGCAGCTAATGGTGAAAAATGGCTTGTCTTATTCATTTCTTTCCTGCCTTGGCACTTTAGGGATTGATGTGCTAAATAATGCCATTGAAACTCTGATGGGCAGCCGTAACCATGAGCAGTGGATTCAAGCTGTGGTTAGTGTTTCAGACTCAGTGATGCAAGCAGATCAGACTGAAGTAAGACTCTTTGTGATATTGTACACAGTGGAATCTTTCTCTTTTCACCAAATGTCTGAGTATGACCTTGCTATCTGTCTCCTATATGTGTTATGGCCTGTTTCATCAGCATATCCCAGAAACCAAGTAATCAACCAAGAAGATACTTGACTGAAAAACTGATAATTGGAATTTTTCTCAGCACCATTGATTGAATGCTATTACTTAAGAGTAGGGATTGACAGCCTTTTTCTACAAAGGAGCCAGAGACTATGCTGCTGCCATTTTTGGATGAGGTGGTGAGCATTCTCTCTCCCTCTGTTGTGGGTTGGGAAAGTATATTTCTTTTTGGGACCAAGAGCTGAATGATTTTGGCTGGTGGGCATATCTGGCCCATTGGCCATAAATTGCTGACCCCAATCAGATCTTGGTTGCAAAATCTAGATAATGATTACAGGTAGTCCTCTACTCACAACTGGTCACGTAGTGACCATTCAAAGTTATGATGCCCCCCCCCCAGTCACATTTTGGGCACTTGGCTACAGGGCCCAGCTGTTTGCAATGTCCTACAGTCATGTAACCATGATTTTTGAGCCATGGTGGCTCAGTGGTTAGGATATAGTATTACATGCTGACTCTGCTCATTGTCAGGTGTTTGATCCTGATGGGCTCAAAGTTGACTCAACCTTCCATCCTTCATGGTTGGTAAAATGAGGACCCAGATTGTTGGGGGCAGTTTACATTTGGAAACTACTTAGAGAGTCCTGTAAAGCAGAACTTTATGGAGGGGAATATAAGTGCTAAGTGCTATTGCTATTTTTGTCATTTTTTGCTGAAAACTGGCACTTACATATATTAGCAGCTTTATAGTAAAGTTATAGCTAGGTTTATTGAAATCTTACTAAATTTAATAGAATTATTCTCAGGTCAGAAAGCTTAAGGTTCCACAGTAGTTCTTTAATCTGTGCTAGCCATTTGGTGTCAGAATTAAATGATGCTTCCAAAGACAAATATTTCAATGATCCATTGATTCCAGTGGGAGTCAATTATAGTCAATTATCCCATAGAGGTCAGTTGGACTTTAATATGTTTAGCTTTGTATGTTACAAATTCAACTGATTTTCATTAGAATATTAAGCACTTCCATTAATCTCTCTCACTGAGAACTTCAGTATCCTTAACTTTTGTTGGGGTTTGTCTATAGTTCAACCTAATTTATTAAATATAAATTGAAAAACCAATAACAAATGTTAAAGGGTCAGTCTTGACCTTTATTAAGCTGCTCAAGAATATTAGTTTTCAGAGTTGGTTGATAAATCCAGATACAGTTACATCCTATTTGTTCCACTGGTTTCAATGAGCACTAAGTATTGCTTTCTTCAGAATGGAATTTACGGTACATTTACAAAACATTCAGTCCTATTTTGTTATTCTTCCAATAATGTTTACTTTTAATATATTACATTAAACTATAAACTAGAGCAGGGGTGTCAAACTCAATTTCATTGAGGGCCGCCTCAGGATTGTGTTTGACCTTGGGGGGCTGGGGTGGGTGTGGCGGGGTGGGCATGGCCAGCTCAATGTCACTCATGAGGGCACCTGTAGTGGTCAAGTGCGAAGGCAGGACTTCCCTCAGACTCTCCCTCACTCTCATAATCCTTCCTTCCTACTTCCTTCCTTCCTTCCTTCTTTTTCCTTCTCTCTTCCTTCTCCTTTCTTCTTCCTTCCCCTCTTTCCTTATTTTTCCTTCCTTGCTCTCTTTCCATCTTTTCTTTTTTTTCTCTCTCTTTCCCTTTCTCCTTACCTGTCACTTCTTGCATATTCAAATGCAAAAGAGGAAACATTTCTCCTTTTATTTTGTTTTTAGTTTGTTTTGCTAGCCCTCCACCAGTGAAAATGGAGCCTGGAGGGCGTGCCCCTCCGGCCTCCGTTTTCACTGGCAGAGGGCTGCAGGAGGCCATTATAGCCAAAAATGGGGCCTGGGAGGGCTGCATGCGGCCCTTCAAAACTATGTTTTTGCTGGCAGAGCTACCACAGGCTGGGCCTTTGCTGTTTCCATGGTGGCCCCATAGGCCAGATCTAAGCATCCCATGGGCTGGATATGGCCCACGGGCCTTGAGTTTGACACCCCTGAACTAGAGGGTTCAAGCCCTGACTGCTGGATGTATACACCATAATGTGATTTGTTTGAATTTGCCAGGGCATCACATTCACTGCATCACATTGATGAGACTGATCACATAATTCATTTTTGTGTTAGGAATAGGGATTTTTTAAAAGAAAGAAATAAAGTATAAATTTGATTCCTGTGTGAAGAACACCTAAAGCTTGCAACTAGTACCTGGAGGACAATTGGAATAAAATGCAGTGAGTACCCTTGGTGTAATCTGATTGGATCATTCTGTATTCTTTAAGGCTGAAGAGGAGGAAGATTCCTGCATTTGGGAATGTCAAGTACGCTACGTGACTTTTATTGGGATTGGGAGAGATGCCCACACATTTGGACTTATTGCTGACATGGGGAAACAACATTTCCAATGCACAGCCTTTTGGTGTGAACCAGATGCTGGAACCATTTCGGAAGCAGTACAGGCTGCGTGTATGGTAAATGCTGTGAAAATAAAACAAACCAGAGCAGATTTCAGGAAAAGTATTAGTCTTCTAAAGAAGCTTCCTCTTAAGCTTGCATACATTTTATCTTCCTACCATTCTTAATCACTCCCCATTACACTCAAGACATTATTTTCTGGCTCAGTATTCACCACTCTTGAAATACTTGAAGATAAAAAGATCAAGAGTCTTGTCCAAAAGATGAAATTATTATTGCATATTGCCATCTAGAATAAAACACCTGAAATATTTTATTCTAAGTGAAGACTTCTAAACCATTCTGCCAGAACCATTTCCTAAAGCCTAGCTCTAGGGAAAAAAGAAAGAAAATCAGACTTTAATTAAACATTATGGAGCATCCAAAGAATCAGTGAAATCAATCTTTTTGTTGAGATCGTTTGGTATAATATTGCTATGCATCGTATCTGATAACAATCTAGCCAGAAAATCAGAATATCACCAAATAATTGAACTTAGTTTTAATCACTATATAGGTGAATTATAAAATACCTGGCCAATTTCAGCTGCAGAATTTTGAATGATTATTTTCAAATTAAACCATAATATTTTACATATTCAGGTTTCTCCAAATAATTTATTGGATTGTATGTTCTTACAACATCTTGGCTGAACTTGAAAAAGCTAAGCAAGGTTGAACCTAGTCAAATTGGAATGGGAGACAACAAGGAATCTTAGGTTTGTAGTCTAGCTTGAGAAGTAAGGAAGGAAGATATTACAGATTAAGGCAATGGTAAACTATTGCCATATTTTATCTTTTTGTCAACAGGAAATTGAATGAGTCTTTGCCATTTATATGATAGGGAGAAGATTTTTAGGACAAAAAACACACGTTAATTTAGGTTTTTGTAAATCATGACTGGTTATATACTCTCTAAATTCACTGCAATTTATGTGTTTCTTTGATAGGTCCAGTATCAAAAATGCTTAGTGGCATCACGAATGAGAACAAAAAGTAGTTCACACTCCATTATGAAGCTGAAAAGGACAATGTCGCTTGATTCACCCATTTGTTCATTTCCCATCACAGGACCCTCCTTGCCGAAAACCAGCAGTGGGGCCACAACGTGCAAGAGGGGAATGTTCTCTTTCTTTGAAACCTTCCGCCAAAAACATTCTATGCTACACACTTCCTAAGATGAAAACAAAGACTGGTGGTCCCAGATGACCTTTAATGGCACTGTCCTCTGATGTCCAAGCTATGAATGTAACTAGCATAATTTTGTTTGTGAAACTCCTTCACTGAGCGAAAAACCAATACAGCCAAACAAGACTGGATCCTAAAGAAGGATCCTGAGAGATTCTGGACATGCTATGCATATTTCTTGCAGTTTTTTGCTACATAGATACTCTGTGGGAGAGGCAAGCTTGTGGGGGAGGGGGAGGGGGGCAGGGGAGAAGCAATGCTGCACAAAAACATTTGAAGGTGCTGCTTGCTGCTAAGAGCAAGCAACATCATAATCACTGCGTAAACGTAAAGTCTTGCTCCAATTGCCCAGGGATTGATAAATCTGAGCAAAGCAGCCAATTCATCTTCATTCAGTAACAACACTTTTTTTTATATAGTTGAAGCTATTGAGATTAACATGGTTCTTTTTTTAGCTGTAGTTTGAACTCTTGGAATGTGACACTGGAAAACAGGCTCAAGAGAAGAAAAATAACCTGTTGACTCTCTAGATACATGCTTGGTTTAATATAAATTCTTGATCTGAAGTTGTTCCTGGAAAAGTAATAAAGAATTGACAACAATATTCTCCAAGCTAATGCGACCCAAATGTGTTTGGACCACAAATCTCAATATTTTCATGGAATAATTAATATTCTAATTAGTATACTTTATCAATCCATGCATAGTTCTCACTGTACTAGTTTTGTATATTTTCCCTTTGAATATTTTTTAAAATTTAATAAAATCTGCATTCATATTTTAACATTTGAACATCATCAATGTTGCCAATCATATAGATACTAGGAAACAACTCTTCTGAAACAAGTACCTGACCACAATAAGCAGATCAAATGATGCACATAATCCCAGTGCTTTCTAACAAAATGTTTGTAAGAAACTATGCATGCATAGTTCTTGCATACATGACTGTTATTTATAACATGTCCATTCTACCAGTCTCACTTCAATTGGAAGCATCATCTAGACTCAGATCATCATTTGATGAGCCAATATTGATGATTCCTACAAGAGAGAAATAATAAAAAGAAAGGTTTCTTTTTCAAAAGATGTAGTATTGAATGCCTGTTACACTAGCATTGTGAAAATGAGTACTAGATCACTTACCTATGAGATCTATACAATGGATAGATGACACTGGTAGGAAGAAGGATGGATCTCAAATGCATTACACTTTATGTTTACGTTTCATTCTTGATATAATTCCTTTTCTTTCACTTATTAAGTAATCCTGGATGAAGATAGACTCAAGTCTACCTCAGTGATACTTTTTATCTATCTACATTGTGCAACTAAAGTACTAATATATAATAAAGCTATATTTGCTTTATGTTTGGTCTCCGTCTCCTGACAATTCTACTGGTGCTCAAATGAGTGGTTGAATATATATAGTGTAAATGAGCCAAGTTTTGCTGACTTAGATCCAACAGTTTTGGACAAAGATATTAGAATAGAATAGAGCTGGAAGGGACCTTAGCAGTTTCTAGCCCAGCTCTCTGCTCTAGCCGGAAACCCTATACAATTTCAGATAAGTGGGAGACCCTATACCCGTGATGGTGAACTTATGGCACACGTGCCACAGGTGACATGCATAGCCATATCAGTGGGCATGCCAGCTCAGCTCTGGCGCACATGCACGTGCTGGCCAGCTGATTTTCGGGCCTTCTGGGCCCACCAGAAGTAGGGAAACAGGCTGTTTCCTGCCTCCGGAGGGCCTAGGGGTGGGTGGGGAAGGCCAGTTTTTCTTTCTTACCTGGCTCCAGATCCTCTCTATGCATCTGCGGAGGGCGAAAACAGCCTTTCCCACTCCCTCGGAGGCTCTCTGGAGGCCTGAAAGGGCCCATTTCCTAACTCCCGGTGGGACAGGAAGTGATTTTTTTGCTGTCCCCAGGTTAGCCATCACTGCCCTATACCATTTCAGACAAGTGGCTGTCCAGTCTCTTCTTAAAAACCTCCACTGATGAAGCACCCATGACTTCTGAAGGCAAGCTGTTCAACTGATTAATTGTCTTCACTGTTAGGAAGTTTCTCCTTAATTCCAGGTTGCTTCTTTCTTTGATTAGTTTCCAATCATTGTTTCTTGTCCAGCCCTCTGGTGCTTTGGAAAAGGCTCAGGCTCAACCCATCCAAGACTGAGTGGCTGTGGTTTCCGATGTCCCGATATAGTCAGTTGACGCCATCACTGACTATTGGGGGCAAATCATTGGCCCCCACGGAGAGGGCTCGCAACTTGGGCGTCCTCCTGGATTCACGGCTATCTTTAGAAGAGCACTTGACGGCCGTGACCGGGAGGATTTTTCATCAGGTTCGCCTGATTCGCCAGTTGCGTCCCTTTCTGGATCGGGACTCGTTACGCACGGTCACTCATGCCCTTGTCACCTCCCGCCTGGACTATTGCAACGCTCTCTACATGGGGCTCCCCTTGAGGAGCACCCGGAGGCTCCAACTGGCGCAGAGTGCGGCCGCGCGGGTGGTAATGGGAGCGACATGGCGTTCCCATGTAACACCCCTCCTGCGTGAGCTGCACTGGCTCCCGGTGGTCTTCCGGGTATGCTTTAAGGTTCTGGTTACCACCTTTAAAGCGCTCCATGGCTTAGGACTCGGGTACTTGCGGGACCGCCTACTACCACCAATAGCCTCCCACCGGCCGGTACGCTCCCATAGAGAGGGGCTCCTCCGGGTGCCGTCAGCCAAACAATGCTGACTGGCAGCCCCCAGGACTGACTGACTGGAGCCTTCTCTGTGGGGGCACCTACTATCTGGAACAAGCTCCCCCCAGAGATACGGAGGATCCCGGATCTGCGCACCTTCCGCTGCGCCTTAAAGACCTTACTATTTCACCAGGCCGGCCTGGCCTAATTTTCCCCCTCTTTTATAAAAGATTTTTAAATTTTTAAATATCTTTTAGTATTTTATATATTCAATTTTAAATTGGTTTTAAAAGTTTGGGGTTTTAAATTTGTCGGGGCCAAAATTATTTAATTTGATTTTATTCTATTTTTTAAATTTTGTATTGTATGTGTTTTTATTGTTTGGCTGTGCACCGCCCTGAGTCCTTCGGGAGTAGGGCGGTATAGAAATCTAATAAAATGAAAATGAAATGAAAAATGAAATGAAAATAATTTGACCCCTCTTCTTTGTGGTAGCCCTTCAAATATTGGAATACTCATGCCACCCCTAATTCTTCTTTTCTCTAGACTAGCCAAACCCAAATCCCGCAACAGTTCTTCATATGTTTTAATCTCCGGGCCTTTGATCATCTTAGTTGCTCTTCTCTGAACTTTTTCCAAAGTCTCAACATCTTTTTTGTGGTGTGGTAACCAAAATTGGTTGCAGTATTCCAGGTGTGGTATTACTAGGGCTTTATAAAGCAATACTAATACTTCACGTGATTTTGATTCTATGCCTCAACTGTACGTAATGATTCAAGATTGTGTTTATTAGATTTTAATAATGATTTCATGATTATATTCAAGACAAATATTATGCCAACAGACATATAATTACCGTAATTCCCTTCTCAGAGGCATTTGTCACAATTCACATATAACTCAAAGAGGCATCATTTTTAAAAAGCAATAATTTTATTACTGATGTGTAACAATTAAATAACCTGGCTGACAACTTGGTCATCCAAAAGGTAGAGGAGGGAAGTAGAGGAGAGCAATACTGGATCAAATTCTTACTAAGAGGGGAGAAATGATAGATGGGGTTGAAGTTGCAGAACTTTGTGGGAGAGTGACTGTCATATCATTCAGTATAATGCAGACACAAGCAATAGAATACAATAAAATTGGTGTCTTAGACTTTAAAAGAGCTGATTTTAACAAACTTAGAGCTTGGAAAAAATTCCATGGAAGAGAATCTTGAAAGAGGAAACAACTCAAGAAGCTTGGGAAACTGGACTTCCGGTTGGCGACATGGTGAGAATGGCTGGAAAATAGCGGAACTCCACTGGGTTCCGTGAAATGCAGTCAGCAACTGCTTGCTGGGAGACCTTATGGGATTAAGCCACCCTGGAGGAGTGGTGAAGAAAGGAGAGGCGCTTCGTTGATGGCAAGGAAACCGCAATTTCCTCATTGATCCGAAGAAAACTCTCCTGAATGGCAGCAGGGACGACAGCCATTTTTGGTCAGTCACAAGCTGGGACAATCAGGACACTAAGATCTTGTGCTGGAGCAGTGTGTGGACAGAGTAGTGAAACTGGGTGAGAAAATTTCCAACTGTTACCTTAGAAATTTAACCTAAGTTAAAAGTTCCAAAAAATGATCTCCAAACATTAAAAAAGTGGCGATTGGATTTATGGAGAAAGTTTAAAGATTAAAAACTAAAGAGGAAGATTAAAGATTTAGAAGAAAAAGAAAAACCTAAAGAACAATTTAAAGCATAGAAAGCCTGGAACAGCCAAACATTGTGAAAAGTGACCATTGGGAGAAATTGCTTTTCTCAATTCTATCTCTAACTCCCCTGACTGGATGACAATCAGCTGTTTTTGACTTTTACACTCTGTGGATCATTGGAATTGGGAGCAGGGGAGCCATCTCCTGGAGGAAGATTACTGCAACGTTTAAAATTCAAAGGAAAGTGATGGAAAGCTACTTGACCTTGACTTTATCTTAGTAGGAGATTTGGATGCTGGGAAATATTTACTGAGATTTTTGAAGATTCATAAGGCAAACTAAATTAAACACTAAAACTTATTGGAACTGTACACTGAAAAGCGGATTTGAAAGATTTGAAGAAACTAATAAAAAGTTTCTTTCAACATATAAAAAGAAAATAGTCAAAAAAACAATTGGTCTACCAATGGGAAAAGATGGCAAGGAAGTGATGGGCATCAGGGAGAAAGCAGAGTTGCTTAATTCTTTCTTGCATCTGTCTTCACACAAAAAGAAAAAATAGCCCAACCTACCAAAGAGAAAACCATAAAAGACAGACTAGGAATTCAAATTAAAATAGGGAAGAAAATGGTAAGAGAACACTTGTCTACTCTAGATGAGTTCAAATAACCAGAAATAGATGGATTACATCCCAGAGTTCTGAAGGAGATGGCAGATATGATCTTGGAACCATTGAACCACATCTTTCAATGATCCTGGAGCACGGGGGAACTACCAGAGGACTGGGAAAGAGCTGATATAGTTCTTATCTTCAAAAAGGGAAAAAGGATCCAGGAAACTACAGACCAATCAGTCTGGAAGATCCTGGAAAAGATAATCAAGCAACAGATCTGTAAACACAAGAGGCCTGGTGGCGCAGCAGACTAATAGCCTGTTATTAACATTCAGCTGCCTGCAATTACTGCAAGTTCGAATCTCCCCAGGCTCAAGGTTGACTCAGCCTTCCATCCTTTCTAAGGTAGATAAATTGAGGACCCAGTTTGTGGGGGCAATAAGCTGACTTTGTATAAATATACAAAAGTATGAAGGCTATTGCTTAATGCATTGTAAGCCGCCCTGAGTCTCCAGAGAAGGGCGGCATATAAATCAAAACAAAAAACAAAACAAAAAAAAAGCCACCCAGAAGCAAGCAAAGTTATAACCAGAAGCCAACATGGGTTTGTCTAAAACAGATCATGTCAAACAAGTTTATTTCATTCTTTTGACTAATTTAGTCATTTTGTTCAATATTTGAGGGACTGCCACAAAGAAGAGGGGTCAATTTATTTTCCAAAGCACCAGAAGGCAAGACAGTACAAAAAGCAATGAATGGAAAGTCATCAAGGAGAGAACCAACCTGTCAGCCTGATCATCTTCGCTTTCCTTCAAGCTTGCTGCCAGTTGCCATTGAAATGATATGGGAGGGAAGCAATGGGTTTTTTTGGGGGGGGGGGAATGTGCAGGAGGTGAAACTGGAATTTCTGAGAAGCGATGGGGAGGTCTGGAATCACAGAGGCCAGGTTGGGTTGTTTAACATCTTCAAGGACAACTGTCCTGGGATCGGCATGCACGAAGGAGAAGTGATGGACCTGGACCAGAGATGTTCCCAAAATGTCTTCTTGACCAATGATTGAACTCTGGTTGCCTGACTACTGGGGGATGGGCTCTAGGATTAGTTTCAATTTGTCTCTTTACGCGCTTTTTACTTGAGACCTTGCCTGACTTTCGATGCAAACAGTTCTTTCCTAGTAAAAGTACCTTTTCTTTTCTTTTTTTAAAAAAAGTTTTTTATTATTTTTAAAACATAAACATAAAACACATCTTTTCAAAACAAAGCTCTTGATCTGGTCACAAATTCATACAAATCACTAACAAATCTTAATTTTCAATTAATACAACTTAATATTTTACTCAGTTATTTCCCTCAAATCTATTATTTAACTATGCCATT